GCTGACCTCCCCTGTCTTCTCTTCATGCTCCCATTTCTGCAGTCCGCCAAATCTCAAATTCCGAGAGTTGGAAAATAAAAAAGTCTACATCATCCTGTATTCTCTCTGTGATCCGTGGTAAATACTATTCCTTTAGTGTACTGCACCTTCCAGTATATGCATTTTATTTTTAAAACCAACTTTTGAAATTTCAATAACTCCCTTTATCAGCAAGAGGTAATTGTAATCAAAGAGTTTTAGTACTAGAATCTTGTGTCTGCTATGAAATTATAAAATCTATTTGACACTCACAATCAAGATGTTACTTATTGTCCTCAGCCAACTCCCCCTGAGAAAAACTAGTGGAGAATTCTGTCTACTGCCTCATGGAGTGGGGGACAGTGATAAATAGAAGCAACAGGAATTTAAAAAGCAAGAAAATACCAATTTTACATATAACCAAATATTTTCTTTAAAATGTACCCAAAACTGTTAAACTCTAAGACTTATTCAACATATTTCCAGAAATGATCAATTATCTGGCTGTTTTGCTCAATATATTTAAAAAAAGAAATATAGGCAAGGAAGGAGGATTAAGATGAGTTCAGTTCCTCTTTCCCTTTCATCGCAAGTTTTTACACACAGGGCTTTAGTACCTCCTCATTCTCCTGTTGTTTATGAGAGTCAAGACTGTGGCAGGTGACAGGAACATAAACAGGGGTGCCGACCTGGCACAATGGCTCACACCCCTCATGTTGGGAGTCCCCATCAGATGGGTGGCTTGAGCCCATGAGTTTGACAACATGCTGGGCAATGTGGTAAAGCACTGACTCTACAGAAAAATACAAAAATTAGTCATGCTTAGTGGCATGCACCTGTCATCACAGACAGAGTCCTCAGTAGCAAACTCTGCCATGACATCTCCAACAGTCTCTTATTCCGCAGACTCAGAGATCCTGCTGAGCTGCTCCCTCAACAAGCAGTGCATGTGAGCAGTTGGGACACCCCAGCAGGGAGGTTTCTGTTCAGGGCTGTACCACTGTAGGAGGAAGCTGTGTAGCTTGCATGCAGTCATAAATCCCAACATCCTCAGTCTCCACCTGGCTTATTTGCAGTGTAAAATCAGTGCCTGACCCACTGCCACTGAACTTGTCTGGAACTCCAGAGACCAGGTTGGAAACCTCATAGATCAGGAGCTGTGGAGACTGGCCTGGCTTCTGCAGGTACCAATATAAATAGGTGTTTCCATCACTATGCAGGAGACTCTAATTAGATCTGCAGGAGGTGGAGACCGGCTCTCCAGGGGTGACAATCAGGGAGAGTGGAGTCATCACAATATCCCCACTGAATCCTGAAATAATAACAGAGAAGTGCAAGGTTATATAGACACATTTTGAGCAACTTTCATAATTTCCCTTATGATATTATTTACAGTTACATATTTTTCAAGTTTTGATTTGTATTATAAAATGTAAACTTTCTAAAATGAACCCATTATTTACCAGCCGGCTGGGAACTTTTTAAAGATCTTAATCAGAGCACTGGTCATTGTCCTGAAAGGTAATTCCTGATTATTCCTGAGATAAAAATATGAGTTTTCTTTCCTGACGGATAGATCATGTGGCAGTAACACATGGTCGAAATAAATATGCGAAGCTGTGGAGCCCCCAGAGCTCACCGTCCCACCCCATTTTCCCACCTCATTTAAATTCTGTTCTTACCAGGGACCCAGAGCATTAGAACCCCCAGGAGCTGAGCAGGGAGCCTCATTGTGAGAAGGTGAACTGAGGAGTCCTAATCAGTCAAGGCAAGGTTAGAGCGGAGCTTTTATCTCAGACTCAAAGGGAAGATCCTCTCTAGGGGACAATATGCAAATCCGCTGGTGGGTACAGTGGGGTGGAAAAGGTTGATGGAGGCTACACAAGATATTTCAATAAAATTAAGCTGGTTAAATAGTACAAAATAAATTATTCGTAACTGAGGGAATTGTGTTAGAAATCAGAAACAGAAAATTATCAGAAGACAGGTGGTGGGAGAGGGAGGAAGGATGAAAAATTACCTCTTGGGCACAAGGTACACTATTTGGGTGATGGGTAACTAAATCCCAAAGTTCACTACTATACAATTTATCACTGTAACCAAAAAACACTCTTACCCATAAAGCCACGGACATACAAAAATTATTTTTTATAAAATTTGTCAATAAGATTCCAAATATTCTGATACTAAGTAAAGTACTACTGAATATATTTTGGGGCAAAGAAACAACCAAGCTGGGTATTACAAAGTATTTTGGGCTGAAAGTAAACATCACATATCCAAATTTTTGAGATAAAAAAAAGCATTAATTTATAGGAATATGAATGCATTTCAGCAAGGAAGTTTTCACATCAATCACAGGAAATGTAATCCTGACAACTGGAAAAAATAGAACAAATGATACTCAAAAAAAGGGTCTGTCTTTTATTCTTCTAAATGTGAGGATGTGACAAGTACACATCTAGTATTCCACCATTCGAATCATATCGGTCTCCAGATGAAAACATCATTAGCAGCTTCACGGGAAGAAAGTCTGAGAGTGGATGGGCAGAGTGAATAACTGCTCAGAAAGAGTGAGTAATATTAGGAATCCTTTGTAATATTATTATGAGCTGCACACACATGAGACTCTTGGGAGTGCTCACTTGCTCATAAGCCAAATATCATGCAGTGCAGGCTGCTTCCCAACCTCCTATCGGTTGGCGAGAGTGGAGTCACTTGGCAAATGCATGGAGAAGTGCCATGAAGGTTATCCATGGCAGCTGATGACAGAACATTAGGGTTCCGTTACATTGACATGACTGACTGTCCCTGCAGCCATGAGGACAGCCAGCAACTTTAGTCGCTGCTCCAGGAACCATATGGCAGCCAAGAGAGTCTGTGGGCCTTAGTGTCCTAAGTGTGGAGAAAAGAGGAGGCCCTATAAGGCATCCTTGAGGACCCTGGCCCTGTTCACATAGAAGACAAGCCTGTGACTGTGACTGATGCCTCATGGCCTCTTCCTTCCTCAAAGGCTTTCCAGTCATCTCTCTCAGGACACCTGACTCCAACTGCTGGACACCCATAACCTGGCACCACAGCTGCTCCTGCCACACTGAGAAGCTGAACTTTCTTTGAGGTTTGTGCTTGGGGCCATTACCCTGTGCAGGGTCCCAGTGAGAGTCCTGTTCATGGGAGGATATGCAGCATCTCCAGGCTCCAAGGTGGTGTTTGTGATGGTGAAATCCCTAGAATTTGGCTAGATGTGTTTTCTTGCTTGTGAATACCTTCTGTAGACCTGTCATTCTTTGTTTTACAAACTCTTTTCTGTAACTATCTATTTTTGTTGTTGGACTTTTGGATGAGCCTGAGATGGCTGAAATGACAGAAGCAATATTTATAATAGGAATCAGAATAAAGAATGTTGAGCTACAAATATCCCCTGGTGGGTGCCATGGGGTTGGGAGTAGGACTATGTTGTAACCCAATTCATGGAAGCTAAAAATAATGAAAAAAACGTGTCAGGAGCTGAGAAACAAAATAGCCATTTTAGAAAAGAACATAACCAGCATGAGCCTTCTGAAAAGTACACTATAGGAATTTCATAATGCAATCACAAGTATTAATAGCACAATGGACCAAGGGGGGAAAAGAATCTCAGAGCTTGAATACCGACTTTATAAGGTAAGTACTCTTATCTGAAAAAAATAAACAAATAAGTTACATTTCATGATACATCATGGGGTTAAAACCTCAGGATGGCCCTTGAAATCTGTAGAAATCCATTTCACAGTTGAGAATTTCATTCATCAGAGGGCATGAGTGGTTTGCACGAAGTCAAATGGTCAGCAAATGTTGGAACTGGGATTTGGACCTAGGTGTGTAAATGAAGTCTGTTCCTTCCATGTGGACAAGTCCAGTCCTCAGATGATCCCTTTGCCTATAAAATGAAAAAAGAAGAAACCCAGATGCTGTGAAATTCACAAGTTTCTGTTGCCCATGCCACATATCATGTGACTCTAACATTAAAGTCAGCCCCTTCTGCAGTTTCTTCTACAAAATGCAACTTTCTCCAAGCCTTTAAATCTCTGAACAGCTTTATTTCAGACTTGGGGCAGGGTCACATATTTTCCTGTCCTGACCCCTTCCTCCTCTCTTCTATCCATTTCCGTCTCAGACTCCATCCTTCCCTGTTTCTTCCTAATTAGAGTGTGTCCTGCAAACCTAATTTGTTCTCCTACAGTTAAACCCCACCCACGCAGGAGCAATTGGATCTGACCCCTAGGCTCCCAGATACCCAAAATGTGCAAAACTTAATCAAGGGGTTTACTCAGGAGATTTTCTCTCTCAGAGGAATTCTGGTGGTAGATCTCCTTACAGTAAACTGTGCTATCTCTTGTCTAAATTAAACCAAAGGCTAACAGAAGCTAACCAAAGTCTAACAAATTGAAGAAGGTTGGGAGATCGGGGGAAACATCCACTCAGAGATGCAAATGCAATTTTTTCACCTTGTGTGAGTTTTCTGTAGCTGCTGTAACAAATCACCACGTCCTTACTGGCTTGAAACAACATGAAGGTATTCTCATACAATTCTGGAAGGGAGAAATCTCACACAGGTCTCACTGGACTAAAATCAGGCTTTCCTACGGACACCGTGGGGAAGAGAAGGTTTTCTTGCCTGATGTTGCTATCTCTCCTTGGCCCTGGTCATTTCCTCACATCACTCAGCATCTCCCTCCATAGTCGCATGTCCTCTCCAAATCTGACTCTCCTGACTCCCTCTTACGAGGATAATTATGATTACATGGAGCTCACAATATACTCCAAGGTAGTCTTACCATCTCAAGACTCATTGCATTTGCCCAAAGTCACATGGTCAGCAAGTGACATCATCATATTGCCAAGTTCCTTTTTGCCATACTATCTAATTTTGTGGTTCCAGAGAGTAGGACATAAACGTCTTTTTATGGGGGGAAAGTACTTTACTCAGACTACCAATCCTCCTAATTATCGCCCCTGCCCTCCCCTAAGGAAGAATCCAATTCACATGGCTGGAAGAAGGAGAAAACAGGGAGCAGCCATCAGCTTTGTAAAGTGAGAGAGCTGGAGGGATCTGAGTCAGGGCCTGCTGATCTGGGGTTTCCTGGGCTGGAGGATTCTCTGCTGCTGCTGCTCTAATGTGGACCTCACAGTGTGGAGCTCTTTGTTAGAGACCCCTCCAATTTTCTGACCCAGAAGAAAGGAATTGCTCCTTTAGAATCTATGAGAGACTAGTAAATTAAAATTAAATGTTTTTTTTTTATATTTTCTGAATTTCTCTACCCATTATAAGAGAAGAAGTAGCAACAATTTGACAACAGATGCCTCCACTAATGAGGATTTGCCTATAGTCTTAGGTTGAGTTTCTAACAAAGAAGATTTCCTTGTAAGCACACTAATTACAAGCTGCAGGAAAGCCTAAGACTGAAGACACAAAGTGAGGCAGGGAAGAGATGATGGATGGTGAAAGGACCGACAGCAAGCAACTACCCATGAGGACCACAAGAGCTGAAGCCCACATGGAAACACAAGAGAATGCCTCTGGGCTATTCCAACTGAGAGCTAAGGGAGCTGGGATATTTATACACCTCACCTGATCTCACTGATTGAAGGCTGTTCTAGGGAATGCTCATTTCAGGTCCTGAGGTCTATCATACTTGCAGTCAGAGCTGCTCCCTCAGCTTCAGAGACAACATGGCCATGGGGGGTTAGCAGAAGTAGAGTGAATGAAAAAGATTATGGGTAAAGACGAAGCCTGCAACATTCATGAAGAAAAGGTGAAGTTGTTAAATCTGGAACAGGTGCATATGATAGTTCTCTCTGGCATAACATACTGGCTGGTCAGTTGTAAGCAAATGCTATAGAATTCAGGCAGGTCTTCCAGGCAGAGCATAAGCAGCCCCAAATTGGGGTTTCTCAGACATGTCTGAAACCACGATTGGAAATTATACTTTCTGTGGCAGATGCACTGTGGATTCTAGGGGAGGCTCAGATTATTCTTCTGTTCTGGTATTTGCATCTTTGACTACCATGCCCCAAAGCCTTTTATACACTGTCATTTAGACTCCCATTTTCTGTATTTAGAAAATAATTCTACTTGAAATTCCAAGAGTGGCTTCATTTTTTTAAGATATTAATTGAAACTCACACCATAACCCAGACTCCTCTGGTGTAAAAATCTCTTCTTAATGAAATCAGGACAGGCTTTTTCATGTTTGTGCTGCTGGGGACGAGGAGAGGGAAAGACAGTTAAAGTATAGAGGAGGCCTTCCCTTCTAGCAAAACTTTCCAGTGACCTTCAAAGCTTGACTGTAATTTGAGAGTTGCTCTCAGCAGATGGGGGCACCAGGAGAAGCAGCTGGGGCAGCCCAGCCTCACACATCTGCTTCACTGGGTGGTTATTGTTATGACCTGCAACACTATGGAATGGTAACTGTAATCCTGGTGATAGTAATAAGTAGCAAAATCAGGCTGCAGGCTGCTGATGGTGAGGGTGAAATCTGTCCCAGATCCATGGCCACTGAACCGAGATGGGATTCCCGACTGCAATTTGTTTGCAGCATATCAAGAGTGCAGGGGCTTTCCCTGGTTTCTACTGATACCAGGATAATTCATTGCTAATTCCCTGACTTGCCTGGCAAGTGACGGTGACTCTGTCTCCTACAGCTGCAGACAGGAAGGATGGAGACTGGGTCATCTGGATGTCACATCTGGCATCTGAGATTGAAAACATAAAAACAAACATCTACACAATCAGTCATGTTACAAGAAGCCCTCCCTGAAGAGCCAGGTAGTGCTTAGCACACTGGCTGAGTAAATTCCTAATGTTCCCTTCCTTACCTGGGAGCCAGAGCAGCAGGAGACCCAGGAGCCAAGCAGAAACCCTCATGTCCATGCTGTGTCCTGACTAGGACTGACTTCTGCACAGTGTGACCAGCCTATTAAGAAGTCTTCAGGGCTGGAGGCTGTGCTCTGAGAACATTCAAATCAGCAGTGGATGAAACTGAGTGGGCACAGCTGCAGGGCTGGCTCATCTCTGTCACTCAGCACAGGGGCAGTGTCCTGAGGCTCCCAGGTCAAACCAGGGCAGAGTAGATTTGTCTGTAAATAATGTGTGTCTTCCTGGGGACCATTTTATAACAAAGTACGTTTTTTGATACTTCTCAAAATGTGAAATTGCTGAGTACTTGATGAAATAATGTATTCCATTGGTGTACAGGGATTATTTAGGGGAATATTCTTCTCTGTAGGGAACTCATAGTAAAGTTTTAGAGTGTGTGATCATTAGGTATTCAATGTGCTCTGAAAGGTGGGATACTTTGTGGTATATTTACATCTTTTAATATAATAAAATTTAAATAATTTTTATGCCTTGATCTTGATATAACATTTTTGTGACTAAGAAATTGTTTCTTCACTTTTTTAAAAAAGGACATTTCTCGGGCCAGGCGCTGTGGCTCAAGCCTGTAATCCCAGCACTTTGGGAGGCCGAAGCAGGTGGATCACAAGGTCAAGAGATCGAGACCATCCTGGTCAACATGGTGAAACCCCGTCTCTACTCAAAATACAAAAAATTAGCTGGGCATGGTGGCGCGCACCTGTAATCCCAGCTACTTGGGAGGCTGAGGCAGGAGAATTGCCTGAACCCAGGAGGTGGAGGTTGCGGTGAGCCGAGATCGCGCCATTACACTCCAGCCTGGGTAACAAGAGCAAAACTCCATCTCAAAAAAAAAGAAAGGACATTTCTCAAGATAATGCTAAATATATTTGCAAGTATTTTGGGAATTACTTTAATCCATTATTATTATCACTATGTGTTCAAGCAATTCCCTGAAGATACATAAAGACGATACTCTATCTCCTCAAAGTGTGTGTGGCTCACAAATCTACCATTATTCAAACCTATGGACCTCTTTAATGCCAGGGATTTTATGGAATGCATCTTATTTTTGGTTTAGGGACCTCCATATTATATTACCTTTTCTATCATTGGTTATTTTTCCCAGGATTCAGCAGCATAAAGGGTTGACTAGTGATGCCAGATCTGATTATTAAAAAAATTAAAAAGTCAGTTGTTTCTTCCTCCACTTATAAAAGCATGGATTAGGATAAACTTGAAATTATCCAGGGATCAATTGTCTTCATAATAAAAAAGAGCAAGATAATATAACCTGAGTAATTCTCTGAGTGGCACTTCCCACCGGCATGTTCCTAGGAGCTTAGGAGCTGCTCCCGAAAAGCAGGTGAGGAGGAGACCTTGGGAAAGACCAGGACAGTGAATCCTCTCTTCTAGTGAGGGAGGCTGCTGCTCAAGGCATGTCCATGCCTTGCATTATCAATGCCACTTTCCTCTTTTACTCTTCAGCAGTGGGGGAATGTCACCCTAACCCAGATGCCAGCCTCCTGTCTCACATCCAAGACAGAGAGTCTCCATCCCTTATCCAGCAAATGTCCATGTATATGGAGAAATCACTTGGATTTGGACAAAACTGAGCACAGATTTGCACCTATTTCTTTAACACGGGCCAAGGCATCTCAACCTGGTTCAGTAGCAGAGGAAGTGAATTGAAGAAAATCAGCATCAGTGGGCTTCAGTCCGGGGTTCTGGGGACTATTACTGATGCCTGACTAGGAGTGATCAGATCACTGTGGCAAAGCCTCTGCACACACCCTCCTGCTGCTTATCCAGGGGCCTGAATTTTGAGGAACTTACTTGTTTGGAGGGAAAGAGGGAAGCTTCCTATTTGTACTCTAAAGGTTTGCAGAAAATAAATCGAAAAAACATAAATTAATAAGAGAAAGAGGTAATAAAAAAAATTCTTTAAAATGCAGAGGAAAAAACTCACAAGAGATTGGTCACCAAAATGCATAGTAAGGTCCAGATGGTTATATGTCCTTCACAGGGGAGTGGAAAGAGGGGAGTATAGGGAACCCAGGGCAAATAAATGAACTAAAATAAAAGAAATGGGTCATCAAGTGAGTATATATATAGTCCCTTGATGTATATATACATATAAATGGAAGTGTGATGGTTAATATTGAGTGTCAACTTGATAGAATTGAAGGATACCAAGTATTGATCATGGGAGTGTCTGTGAGGGTGTCGCCAAAAGAGATAAACATTTGATTCAGTGGGCTGGGGAAGGCAGATCCACCTCTAATCTGTTGGGCATGATCTAATCCACTGCCAGCAAATATAAAGCAGGCAGATAGTGAAAAGGAGAGACTGGCCTAGCCTCCCAGCCTACATCTTTCTCCAATTCTGGACACTTCCTGCCCTCAAACATCAGACTCCAAGTTCTTCCATTTGGGGACTTGACTGGCTCTCCTTGCTCTTTTTTCACATTTTTCTGCCTTCTTGTAGTCTAGCCATGCTGGCAGTTGATTGGATTGTGTCCACCCAGATGAAGGGTGGATCTGCCTTCCCCAGTCCACTGACTCAAATATTCCTCTCCTTTAGCAACACCCTCGCAGACACAGCCAGGAACAATACTTACATCCTTCAGTCTTATCAAGTTGACACTCGGTATTAACTATCACAGAATTACAGGCTCAAACCATCACACCCAAACTCATTGTATATTTTATACAATTTCCTAATTTTCCAATTTTATCTGTGACATAATAAAGTTTTCTTGCTGTGACCCCCAACTTGCTTGTAACACTTGAAAGCACATTTAAATGTATTCTGGACAATTTTTAACTGGCAAATTTTTGAGACTTATGGAAAGAGTCACCTTACTTGCCTGTCAGCTGTCAATTCCCCATCATTACTATCACTTCTGGAAGCACATTTCCTAAAACCCCTTTTCTTTCTCTGGTTTCTTTAGAGTTTCTCAATGAGAGGCCCTTCCATGAGATTTGGAAGTCAGAGTAGTGGATTCATGTACATTGACACCTGAAGTAAAACATGTGGAGTTAGGTGTGGATGGAATAATCACCTACAGATGTGCTGCAGGCAGCTGAGAGCATCAGCACCCCCGGCCCTGGGCTTCGCAGACAGGTCTGAGATCATCACATGGGTACTCAGCACATACCAGCAGAGGCAGCTGCACTCTGGCTTCTGGAGGGGCACCTGAGACTCCCCTGTCTCTAGTACCTGCTTCATGAATAACATACTGCAGGCTTCAAAAAAACTGTCTTTTTTATTGGCTCCAATTTATTCAACTTCAACAATTTCTCCTTGGAATACCAAGAGTAGCTACTCTTTTGCTGTATGAATTTCAATTATCTCATTATATAGACTCCTCAAGTGAACTTATCTCTCTTTTTCATTGAATTAAGACAAGACAAGCACTGTCACATCTTTTCTGCTGGGGATGAGGGCGGAAGAGGCTTAGGATTTAGAGACGCCTCCATGACCCCCTCTATAATAATCTCCCAATGACTTTCAAAACCTGAGTATGAGAAATGCTCTCAGGAGATAAAGGCACCAGGAGGAGCATCTGGGGCAGCCTTGCCTCACACATCTGCTTCCTTGGGGGTTTATGTTATGACTTGTAACACTGTGGGAGGAGTACTGTAATGCTGTTGACAGTAATAAGTTGCAACATCTTCAGACTGCAGGCTGCTGATGGTGAGAGTGTAGTCTGTCCCAGATCTACTGCCACTGAACCGAGAGGGAATCCCAGTTTGCAAACTAGATGCAGCATAGATCAGGAGCCTAGGAGTTTTCCCTGGTTTCTGCTGATACCAGGCTAAATAACCTCTAATGTCCTGACTCGCCCGGCAAGTGATGGTGACTCTGTCTCCTACAGATGCAGACAGGGAGGATGGAGACTGCGTCATCTGGATGTCACATCTGGTACCTGAGATTGGAAACATAAAAACAAATATTCATACTATTAATCATGTTATCAGAGGACTTCCCTGTAGTTCCAGCAGTACTGAGCACACTGGGCTGAGTAAATTCCTAGTGTTCTCCTTTCCTTACCTGGGAGCCAGAGCAGCAGGAGCCCCAGGAGTTGAGCAGGGACCCTCATGTCCATACTGTGTCCTGCGTGAGACTGACTACTGCACGGGGTGTGACCAGCCTATAAAACAGTCTTCAGGGCAGGGGTCTGTGCTCTGGGACATGCAAATCAGCAGGGGATGGGGCAGGCTGGGCACAGCTGCAGGGCTGGCTCATCTCAGTAACTCAGCATGGGGCAGTGTCCCCTGGGTCAGACCAGGAAGCTCAGATTTACCTTGAGAAAATACATTGTTCTTTGAGGCCACATGGTTACAGAACACATTTTGGGGTGAATTTTCAAAATCTTAAGGGAACCTAAGACTAGAGTAAATAATGTATTTTATACTTGTATTAGGAGTGTATAGGGAAGCACCATTTTGGCAGAAAATTCATAATAAAGTTGTAGAATGTGGGGCTGTCATAAATTTCGGTTTCTCTCTAAGGAATTTGATGACTCTAAAAGTGTTTAGTGCTGTATAGCAATGTCTCTCTCAAATGAATTTGATGAGTGCAAAAGTATTTAGTGCTATACTAACAATGTCTGTCAGTGTTAAAATATTTGTTTATTAAATGAAAATAAGACTTCATCCGAAGTATGTTTAATAAATTCAATAGAATTTGCTAATAAACTTTGGCCACTGTTCTTAGCATTATAAGAAAAACCGATTAGCAGAAGATGCACAAAGATGATACTTAAGCCACACATAATTCTGCTGTTATCCAGAGCTATAGGTCTCTTTAAACCCAGGGCTAAACGGGTTGCATCTGATTCTTGGCATAAGGATCCTTATATTCTATCCTTTCTCCTGCATTTGGGTATGTTTTCTTATGGTCACCAGCATGGACGGCTGACTAGTAATGCCAAGTCTGATTATTTCAATTAAAATCTCTGTTCTGCTCACTAACTTTAGGAGGCTGGATTAGGAACCACTTGAAGCCCTCAATCAATCTAGGCTCAAATAATCAATTGTTTCAAAGCAGGATGAGAAAGACCACATTTTCTGGGTAATGCACTGAGCTCCACTCCCCACCATTCTGTTTCTGGGGTCTCAGGTGCATCAGCCCTATAGCCTGGCTTTCTGGAGAGCAGGTGAAGGGGAGGCCATGGGGAAAGGTAACCCTCTCTCCTTAGCAAGGGCAGCTACTGCTCAGTGCATGTTCTTACCATGCACCATCAATAATCCTTTCCTCTTTTACTCTTCAGCAGTGAGTGAGAACATCATCCTGACCCAGATGCTAGCCTCCCTGTCTCACATCCATTTAGAGAGAGTCTCTATCTCCGGTCATGCTGCTGCCCACATAGATGAAAAAAATATTTTGAATCCAGATAAACCTTAAGCACTGATGTGAACCTCAATACCTCACACAGCTGCCCTTGCCCAGGGCTTGTTGGCCTGCTTCAGCAGCAGGGGCAGTGCAGCCAACTGCATCAGTTATCAGTGGACTGAAGCCCAGGGACTTCAGGGAGTATTTCTCATGCACAACTAGGAGTAGCTAGACCAAGATAGTGCCGTCTGTGGACAAACCTCCTGCTACTTCTCCAAGGGACTGAATTTTAGGGAAATGGCTACCAAACAGCCTGCCAAGATCCAGATGTCCAGATTCAGAGAGATACATCTCTGGATTCAAATGCACTTTTTTCTTTCTGTGTAATTTTAGCAGTCATTGTTACTACACCTTGGTGTTTCCATTCAATGTACTTCAGCTGACTGTCTGTGGCCCTGTTTGTCCTTACTGCTCTCACTGAACCTGGGGAGGCAGCTCTGCCTGCAAATGTGGCAGACCTTATTGCCTAAAATTAACATCCTCTAGGACCGCTATCAATCAGTAATTGCATGGGAGGTGTAGATATACCCCAGCTCCCTCACTTCTCAAATAGAAAAACAGAGGCAGTTTTCATGTGTCTCTGTGGGCTTGGGCTCTTGTTATCCTCAGAGGTGGCTCCTTGCTGAGGGATGTTTCACTGTCCCTCCTCCCCTCCCTTGCTCACTTGCTTATTTCCTGCACTTTGTAAATACACTGCCTGCATGGAAATCTTTGTCATCCTTCTCACTGGGGGGACCCAACCTAAAACACTGAAAAAAATCCTCATTCTTGGAAGACATCTTTGCTTGAATTACTGCCACCTCTCATGTTTTAATGCATAAGAAAATTCAGAAAATTTAAGAAATATTTAAATTCCCTTTGCTAGTCTTCCTTAGATTTGTTTTTAGCAGAGATTCATTTTTTCTAGGTCACAAAATCAAAGAAGCCTTCCACAAATGGCTGCACACCATGGAGTTCACTCAGAGCAGAGAATCAGAATCCCCCCAGAATCTGAGATCCACACATTAGAGAGTCCTGGAGTCTCAGGTTTTTTTCTAGGTCTATTGCTTCATAAATATGCCTTATGACATTTTTATTCTACCTTAGGGCAAGACCATTGTAGAGATGATGAAAATAGTTTGTGGAATGAATAACGCACTTCCCTAAAGACATCATTGTTCTAATATCTGGAATCTATGATTATTACTTATGAATATGTCAAAAATAACTGGGCAGACATGGATAAGAATTTGGAGGTCAGGAAAGATTTCTGAATTATCTGGGTAAGACCAGCATAATCACAAAGTTACTTCTAATAGAGAGGGAGTAGCATCACTGCCAGAATGGATCTGGGACAATGGAGAGGGATGCTGGAATGAGGAAGGAAGTGTCCATGGAGCCAGGAATATGGGAACATCTGAAAGATGGAAAGCTGGAGATTGGATTGTCTCTCCTGAAGCCTCCAGACTGAATACAGCCATATTACTTCATTGAGACTTCTGACCTTCAGAAAGGTGATGTAATACACTTGTGTTACGTGGAGCCAGTAAGGTTGTGGTAATTTGTTACAGCAGCAACAGGAAACCAATGCAAGGGGAGGTGGTGTCTGTTACTTCCCTGAGTATATCATTGTCCTCTATTCTCCCAAACAGTTCTATGTTGTCATCTTTTGCTGTCAATTTTGACAAGAGTCAGAGAACATGTTTCTATGAGGAAAGGTAGACCCAGAATTCTTCTTATGTAGAAAGTCTGTTGAGTCAATCTCTGGATTAAGTCTTATACCATCTTGGTGTCTGAGAGCCTGGAGGTCATTTCTCACACCACATGAGAAGAGGAGAGGGCTATGGGTTTGCTGTTTTAACATTCGAAGGGAAATTAGCTGTACAAGACACAATCTGAGAAGCAAGGACTGAGTCAGAGAGATGGGGATGGCCAAGAAGATGAAATGTGGTCAGGGACATGCAAGATGTGACCTTGCTACTGTATATAAAAAAAGTTTCTTGGTGTTTGTAAAGGTTTTGAACAAGTTGACCTTTGTAGACAAAACTGTAGAAGAGTTTGAGTTTAAGCTGAGTGTCAGTGTGATGAGGAGCAGAGTTAGCATTGACCTTGTGTTAAGAAATCCACCCTGCATCTCTAGCTTTGTCTCATCTCTGGTTTTATAGGTTGTGGATTCCTCTATGGGATGAATGTGGCTCTGTGGAAGGAACATAGTTAAGGTCAGACAGTCCTGGATTCCAAGTTCAGCTTCAAAAACTGCTGATCAAGTGAGTTTTATGCAAATAAGCCATGTGCTCTCATGAACAGTTTCCTTATGTGTGAAATGGGGAACTGAGGATATAAAGGGGTGTCCTGAGGGTTGTACCAGCTGATGCACCATGAGGTGCACATACATCTATAGATGAACACACTCACATACTTGAGAAGAGAATCTAATGCACATTTTATGCATCCTTGAATAACTCAGAATGTTGTGTGAGATATTACTAGTCACATATCATTTCAACCAAAATTATTCATATTTATCTTATAATTAGCAGATGCCTCTCTGTACAGTATAGTATTTATGTACATTTCTTCAATCACAAAATTTTCCACCAATCTATTTATTTCTAGTATTAGAAATTTAAGGAAGGAGATTGCAAATCAACAAAGCACCTTTAGTGTGATTTTCCCTAAGCCCCATTTGTGTTAGTGTCCTGGGGTACTGTAACAAGTTCTCAAAAACTGTGATAGCTTAAAAGAACAGGAATAGCATCTCTCATAGCTCTGGAGACCAGAAGTCCAGAATCAGTTTCACTGGGCTGAGATCTTGGAGTCATCAAGTCTGGCTCCTTTAGAAGCTCTAGGGAGGAGTCTGATTTAGTTCTTCCAGCTTCCAGTGGCTTCAGCTTTCCATTACTGGGAGCCAGCCCTACCCTGTACGTGGGTGCCCTGTGTCATGTCCCAGTGGTTATGAGGTAGTGAGAAAAGAAATAAGTCAGAAACAAGAGTAGAAGTTCACAGCATGGGTCCAGGGGTCTAACACAGTCTCATGACGGGTGATCCGCATTGGCACTGAGCTCTGGGCTCCATATGCCTTTATTGGGTGCATTATCTTGTTAATCTTGCAGGCTGTGGGGAGGGGGGTTGAGAAAGAAGATGCTGGGTGGGGGAGAGCATGTGTCCGCAGCATTCAATAGAAAATGTGGTTTTTCTACGAAATGCTAACTAAGGACACTGAGTTTTTACCACCCATTGTCTATCTAGGTGCATCAGCCAAGAGGCACTGCCGGTAAGGCACCATAAGGTTTGACAACACACAATGCATCATGGGGCTTTTATCTCCCGAGCGTTGTGGACCCAGAGTAATCAGAATGACCATATTCTGAGAACATAGGCAGAATCTGTGGCGTTCCAGTTATCTCTGCCCTGCAAGGCTTTCTGACCTTGCAAGCTCCCATCTGCAAAGACCTCCTGAGTCTTGTGAGCAGAAGTTGAATTCTTTCCCAGAGTTCTGGCACAAGCCTTCTTTATCAGACCTTCATGTAGACACTATGTTGGGAAGAGATCAGGGGACCAAAGCAGTCTTTGCTGCCTTGCAACCACACCACAGCATTCCACGGTTATAAAGCGCTCTCAGATGGCCTTTACTACAGGCCTCCTATTACCGCTTGATCTCTGCTTTTATTTTACTGCACGATAGTTTGGAGTTTTCTCAATTCAGTATTTGATCCGTGGCACAAATCTCAGTGTATAAAAAGCAAAACAAGCTTATAATCAT